CGGCTGATCCCTTCGTTACGATTTATGTACCATCTCAATACCAGAGTCACAACATCTTCATAGTTGCCAAAGACCCATAAGAAGTCGTCACCATGCAAGTATTTGTTCGGCGTTCTTTTGACGATCTTCTCACGGCCTTTTTTCACTTTTAGGTAATAGCACCAGTCGTCGTTTGTCTGACCGAGTGAATATTGGTGGAATAGCTCAGCTAGGCCTAAATTGAGGCCTAGGCAACGGTTAAGCTCGGCTATGCCGTTTATTATTTAGTATGTATTTGTGGAGAGTTGTGTGGGGCAAAGTCTTGTCTGCCTAAAGAATTCACATAAAAGGGGTTGGACCGAGAAACATAGTCCGCCTTCGACTATGGATAGCACGATGAAAGAGCAAAACCCTGTTTGGTCCCAAGGCAGTGTGTCTGGCTCGGCCAGTTTGAAACGAACGTTGTTTGGGACATCGTAGTCCTTACGAAATTCGGTTATGGCACCTAGGGAGCTAACCATAAAGCGGTACTTCTCCATGGAAATTGTTCTTAAATTAATAACTTAAAGGTTTGTTCGGCTTCTTAGCGCGGCCACAAGTTGGTGTGTGTTTGCTCAGTCGAATGGCTTCACCAAGAGGCAATTGCAAAGGTGTGCCTGACAAGTCCTAGTTGAATCTGCACGGTCAAAAATGAATTGTGTTATGCCCAACTGATTGACCGAGCTAAAACAACAGTGTAAATTAAGTATATAGTGTAATAAAGCTCTAAGCAGGCTGCTCGATTGAGAGAGCACCCGAATATTGCTCTTAGCTCGATCATTGAGTTGGGGGTGTTGAGCTATGGTAGCTTGGCCTCCTAAACGTGCAGTGTTTTAGCTCAGTCCCAAAATAGAGCAAGGTTTTAGCTCAACGGAAATAAGCGAGCAAGGTGTTAGCTCGACTGGATTAAGGAGCAAAGTTTTAGCTCGGCTAAAAATTCGAGCAAGGGTTTAGCTCGATTTAAAGTCTGAGCAATGCCTTAGCTCAATTACATATTATACCTAGGCTACAGCTCTATTGCGAATCTATAGCTCGGTTGGTTTCTCTAAGAAACCATAAACAGGAGGTTTGTTCAGTTCCATAGGGGTTTTGGATCGAAATCGCAACCCTTAGTCAGTTCTTACCCAAGTTATATGGTGTTCATCTCAGAATATGGAATATTAAAGGTCATCTAAAGTCCTAATTCAGTTCCAAGCCTAATTTTATACAGATTTCAGTGATTGTAAGTGTTATAATGTTATTCGTGGACATGGATACTGGTATGACAACATGAAAATGCAAGGAACATGAAGAACAATGCGAAGATTATGGAAAATGCAGAAGAGGGTTCGAGAAACTTACGAATTGGGACTTAAAAGCATATTCCAATCGGTGGAAAAGTGTCATCGTGTGATTGCGAGTTGATTGTAGCAATGCGTATGCTCCGATCTGGGGTTGAAATGGTGGAATCTGAAGGGTTTGGAGTCTGATTTAGGGTTCGTAGTTGGAGAAGATGAAAAGTGGAAGCCAAGAGTTGTGTGTATCAGTTATATATATAATGGAGGCAAAAAGGAGCAATGATTTCAAATTTAGAAGCCAGTGCATAACGATCGGTGCAGTGCACAGGTTCAATCATCGTGAGCCACGTGTCCCAAAAAAGGTGCGTTGTTAGAATAGTGGGAGAATGTGTTGTATGGAGGAAAAGACCGCTTTAAACCAAGCTGGAGTCTTGACCGAGCAACCTTGATTAGCTCGGCGGGAATGAGTATTGTAGCTCAACTCTAGAGAGTAATGCCAATCATGTGCTGCAGATACAATTAAGAGGGTAATTTGTGTAATTAAATTGGGCCGAGATGGTTGGAAGCAACTTTAAGGTTTGGGCCACGTGATGGGCCAAGCTATGTTTTGAAGATAGCTTGGTTTGTACCGAGCTATGTTTTGGAGATAACTTGGTTTGGGCCGAGCAAAGGCTAAGCCAGTCAAAGATGTTTGACCGGACTAGTAAATGCCTATATTCTTGGACCTAGTTACCTCCTAGAGACAATCAACGCTTTGACTGAGCTACAAGGAAAGATGGTTAAACCCAACTAAAAGTAAAGGTTTGACCGAGCTAGGAGAATAGCCGCGCAATATCTGCATGGTGGTGTGCCGTGCAAACCCTGCACAGAGCTATGTGTTACACGGTTAAGTCAGTGGCAGACAGAGTAAAGTAGTTCGGCTACTCGGCAGGAAGCCGTGCTAAGAGTCGTGCCATCTCACTTGGCTTGCAGTGAGAAGGGTGTTAAAGGATAAGTATTATCCCTTAGGAATGTGATTCCTAGGATGATTCTACAAAGGAGAGTTAGAGTCCCACTAGGATGGTGCCATGCAAAATCTACAAAAGTTCAAACCAAACACCCATGTTAGGTATTGCAATGATTACTCCTAAATTCACACAGCTTTTATCTCCTTAGTCTACTTGTTGACTTAGGTATCGGAGAGGTTTCCGGTACACACCAGCCCGCCAACTCACGTTTGTGATTTCACGTGTTATGACGATGTTTGGAGGAGCGCAAGTTTGATCAATAAAATTATATGAGTGAAGTTCATTTCGTACTTGTACAAAAATAATAATAATAAAATAATTAATATTATAATATATTTATTGTTTAAGTAATAAGAATTTTTTTACCAGACTCAGGTCCTGGTTTCGAGTCCTATTCACTTCTCTTTTTATAACTTTTTATTTTCAAATAATGAAATGAAAAATTCACGGATGCCACTCTATATGTAACCTTCTATTTTTAAATTGGAAAATGACTCACATAGCAGTGACATGCCGTCTTTTATTTTTATAGTGTAAATAAATAGATATATTTTACGGTTCTTTTAATAATAATGATATAAAAGTCAGATTTTAGAATCACAAGTCAGTGATTAAGACCCTATTTTGAATCTTGGGTCCGGTTTCGTTGTAGTTTATAATGAGATTGGCGGATGCTAGTAAGTCATAGTGGGCCCAAATTCGACCCTATCTTGGTACTTCAAGTCATTTAATGTATAGAGATTATCGGGTATATTATTTTTATAAGAAATAAATTTAATCGGATATCAATAGCTTCTTAATCATATCACATTTCTAGCAACAATATATTTTGACTAAAATATGATTCGATTAAATATCTATCGATATCCGACCAATGTAATTTTTTGCATGAATGATACAATCGACAAGATTTATATATTGAACAATTTAGATCATCGATATGAGCCCACATTTGGACTCACTACGGCCCAACAGTACCCTCTAGTCTAATTGCAAACTTGAGAGGTGCATGTCTAGGTGGCCTCCAGCTGTTCTGGGCCTTGTCAACCGGGTTGTGCCATTGGCCCCAAGCAATGGGTTCGGGGTGGTTTACCGTGGACCGTGTGCCTTGTAGGCCTATCCATGTCAGGTGATATATTTTTTTAAAAAAAGTAATCATAGCAGTTCACAAGACAAATTGGTCACTAGTCCATCCTTGGGAGGATACTAGTCCCACAAATATAACGGGAAGAACCCTTATAATGACACACTAATTTTCTCCTTAAAATGAATGACACTAATTTTGAAATAGTAGATGCTTTAGAAAATAAAATTAAAAATGGATTACACTTGTTCTGTTGGCTCATACAAGTGACAGCATACTAAGATGTCACGCGATCAAACTATTTAAAAATCACCCTGTTTAGTTGGAAAAAATTACAACTTTCCTAAAATATTTGAGTTTCTTTAAAAATAAAAATAAAAATAAAAGGATCCCTTATATTAAGATTTTATAGCATGAAGGACATGAAATATTTTCATAGGAGTTGGGGTCCCTCAAATTTTTACAGAGAAATTTCAATCCAAAGAAATTTCAGACTAAAGAAATTTCTATGTTTTCAAATTTGCTATGTGTTTTCAAATTTATTTGTGGTTTGACCAATTTTGTCTGAATTGCCCATAATTTTCTCTGTTTGAACAAACCAGAAAAAATTGAGCTACTCATAAACCAAAACCAGAAAGAATAGAGAAAATTGAGCTACTTGTTGTACCAATTGTGTAATTAAATAAAATACACAAACCGATTCATATGAAATGAAATTGATTTACAGTAAATGAAATCATGGGATTATAACATACAATTTAACGAACAGAAAAACATATAAGAAAAATAAGGACAGGAGTGCAAACCGAAACCTGTGTGATACCACAATCTCTTTAAAATAAATTAGCCGCCCCAAGAAATAAAAAAGAGTAATTATTTTTTATTCTTCAATTATCATCAATGGAAAAAATAAGGAGATGAGTTTTTTTTTAAAAAATTATTATTTATGATAAGAAGGGAGACAAGTTATTTATATTTATGTAGGACTCTTGAAAGTAGACATATTTGCTACTCCAAAAACAAAGAGATGGTTTATATAAAACTCTTCATGACTTTTAAAAAATATAATAGATTTGAGAGGATAAAATTAAGATTTAAAAAAAATAAAAAATATGACAAACTATTCAAACTTTGAAAATAGTAATAGACAGATATATAGTATTTCAAAATTCAAATGATAAATTGACCTTTTTTTTTCTTTTTTTTTTCTGTTTTTGAGAAAAAAAATGATAAATTGACTTGACTCAGAGAAATAAATATTTACTATTTAATTGTTTAACCCATAAATCATTTTCATATCGTCCTTAAAAACAATCATTTTCATATGGGTCTAGCAAAGTGGTATTTCTAATGTCAGTATTACTTTGTTTCCACATCATCTGGATTTCAATGGTTGGTTGGAAATTTTGGAAAATGTGAGCTGAAAAACATAAAATTCATGATCCATATATCATGTAAAATTTTAGCCGACTCAAACTGACTTTTTTATCTCATCAAATAAATTAATTTGTATAAATAGAAAGAGGGTGGGTATTGTTGCTGAAATTTCTTTCAGCAACTAGACATCATAAGAAATGCTATCGAGACATTTCCTGTCAAATTAATGGAAGTTGATTCAGGAAATTTGTAAACAATAATAACCTCCAAAATTCAGCATCCATGCATGTTACAATGTACAGATCATCTGCGTAAAATATGAACACCATTCATACCAGACCAAGCAGCATACACAATATGTACACATCTCAGATGTTTTCTGAAATGGGCTGTCAAGACAGCAACCCCATTGTAGTTCACCCAGATCAGAGAGAGAGAGAGAGACGTATGCCATAGTGTTCAACTAGGTTATGCTCTAACAACATCGGGATGTATGCCATAGTGTTCAACTAGGTTATGCTCTAACAACATCGAGCTATAGACTCAACCAACAGATACCTGAACATGATGTATTACTCATATTTCATGATGATAGCTTCAAGAATTCCATCAGATTTGAAGATGGGTGAAAAAAGCCTTGGATCAACAGGTCCTGGCAGACTGAAAGAAAGTGTGAATGGTCCGGGTGGGCATTGTTGCTGGAATTTCATTTCATAAACACGAGAATGTCTGAAAACAGTTCTTCCACCAGTCGTTGTCACACCTCGTAAGTGGACCTTTCCATCACGTTCAATAGCACAGCTGAACTGACCTGCAGCAACAAACGTTATCAGTCAGATGAAAAAGAATTAAACCATCCCAAATGTAAGATGCGTTCTGTTTTTAACTCAAAAAGAATACAAATAGAAAATCATATGTTCACAGGTTTCTTGAAGCAAAACAATAGTCACTGTTATTAACTACATGTATTGACTCCAAATACAAACGCCATAACTCGAGCACTTCTATTCAATATCTGAAAATTATTGATGGGATCTACCAATAACATTATTTGAATCAATTATGTTCTGAGCAAATTATTTCAAGCTATCTTATTTATAGTTTCCTTTTAAAAAATTTAGGAAGCTAGCTGACCACAACAAGCTCTCATGATTATCTTTTATAAAGGTTATCTAGATATTGCCCACCATCCAAAAAATACCTATAACTAATTGGTAATCACCATAATTTCCAACAATGCAGATCCATTAAAAGACCATCATTTTTTACTTAATATTTGCCCATGTGGTGCAGCATAGTGTTCTTACCACCCTCTTCAAAGAACAAAACAAACCAAAACAAAAGGGTAAATTACACTTTGGCCCAAATCTCACTTTGGCCCCTACACATGAAATTATAACAGTCAATCCCCTGCACTTCCAGTCAAATCCTACTTTAATCCCTGCACATGAAATTGTTACCGTCAATCCCCTATAAATCTCAATTTGGTTCCTATACAAGTGTCAATGTCCCCTTTCTATTATTCAATTGTTTAAATCTTTAGCATGTGATAAGAATGTTATGACATGATGGTAAGAAAAGAAAATCATTTACATTTTCCACCAATACACACTTTATCCCAAAATTTACATCAAAATATGATTGTATTAGGCTAAAACAAAATGCAGGTTGTGAACAATTAAGAAGATGAACTAAGATTTTGTATAAATTAGAATCACGAAGCTCTATTTTTTACGGTAACACAATCTTCTGTCTATTCATCTTTCTTTCTCTTTGATTTCTTTGTTACAATTTTCTATTTATTTCAAAAGCTCTACTTTCTTACCTTTTATCCCATTTTTTACCATACGAACATATATTGTTAAGTGTTAGGGATAGTTTGGTCTTTATGTATTATTCTTATTAGTATAAGTAGTTGTGTGTAAGGGGGAAACCCTAAGTTTTTGAATCAATAATCTACAGCAGCTTTCTCTTGTTCTATTCCTTCTTCTTATTCTTCTTCTTCGTCTTCTCATCTATACATTCAACATGGTATCAGAGCACTATCTTCCTCCTTGAAGATTGTTCCTTAGAGCCCCATATAGTTCCTGGTACGTCTGTCATAGCCACCAAAAAAAAAAAAAAAAAATTACAGTATGCTCGAAACTTAATGGGTAATCACCCTATAATCTCATTTTTTGATTATTTGGTCATTATTGATTGAATTTTCTAATTTTTTTGATTTTTCGTCAAAATTGGGTGATTTTTCGAAAATCACTGTTTGACCCTCTTTTTTCTGGTTTTGTCCCTTCTTCTCCTATCCTTGGGAGCCGACTGGAACCTTAGAGGGGTTTGTTGTCCCTGGTTTGATGTATTTTGGCCCTATCTTGGATTTTTATCGCTGTTCAGATGCTCTGCTTCGGTTTTCTGATTTGTAGTTGATCTGGTTGCTCTGTTCTGGGCTTCTTTTGGACTGTTTTAGCCTTAGAAGGTGTTTGGTGTGCTGGTTGGGTGATTTGTGAATTTGTTTGATATCCGGCTTGTGTTTTTTGCACCCTCTTTTCTCATCTCATGGCTGACAGCTTGGGTCAGGACTCTAAGGGCAAGGAGGAGAGTAGACTGAGTCGTGGTCTGACTCTTGGTGATAGTCCTTCTCTCCAGATTAGTCCGGTCAAACTTAATGGTCTTAATTACTTGATTTGGTCCCGCTCCTGTAGTCTTGCGATTGCCGCCCGGCGTTTGACTGGCTATATTACTGGTAGTAATACCCAGCCACCTACTGAGGATAGTACTTTATCTGCTCAATGGATTTCTGAGAATGCTTTAGTTATGACCTGGCTCATCAATTCTATGGAGCCTACCATTAGTCGGACTTTTCTCTTGATGGATACTGCTCACAAGATCTGGATAGCTGCCTCTCAAATGTATTCTCAACAAGGGAATGATGCACAGGCCTATGAATTGCGTAAGACGATTAGGGGTTTGGATCAGAAGGATCGCTCTCTGGCAGTCTACTATGCTGAGTTGAGTGGTTTGTGGCAAGAGCTAGATTTCTACCAGAGTTTCCAGCCAGTTTGCTCCAAGGATGCCACTATGTTTCAGCAGGCTGTGGAGAAGGAGCGGGTGTATGACTTTCTTGCTGGTCTGAATTTGGAGTATGATCAGATACGGGTTCAGGTGTTGGGTCGCTCTCCGTTTCCTACATTGCGTGAGGCTTATGCCCTGGTTCAGCAAGAGGAGAGTCGTCGCAGTGCTATGGTGCATGCTCCTGTTCTGGATCGGTCAGCGATGGTTGTCGGCCCCAAGTCACGTGATACTCCACCTTTTCTGCCTCCAGGTGGTGGTAAGGGTCCATTGGTTGATCGGGACCGGTTGAAGTGTGAGTATTGTGGGAAAGATAGACATGATAAAGAACACTGTTGGAAGTTGCATGGCCGCCCTACTCGAGGCCGTGGTCGTGGTGGTGGTGTTCGTCCTCAAGCACATGTTTCTGAGACTACTGCTAGTGCCTCGAATGATGCTAGTTCTCTTTCCCCGGATGAGCTTCACACTCTCAGACGTTTGATGGCTCGACTTGATTCTTCATCTGCCTTAGCTCCTTCCTCTTCTGCCTCTTCCAACTTTGCTCACACAGGTATTTCTGCTAGTGCCCTCAGTGTTTCTTCGTCGTCTCCTTGGATCATTGATTCCGGTGCTACCGATCACATGACGGGTACTTCTAGTTTTTTCCATTCTTATTCACCTAGTTCTGGGCGAGATAAGGTTAGAGTGGCTGATGGCACTTTATCTTCTATCTCCGGCAAGGGTTCTGTTCGTTGCACCTCTTTACTTTCGCTTTCATCTGTTCTTCATGTTCCTAATTTTTCAACTAACTTACTTTCTGTTAGTAGCCTTACTACTGCTCTCAATTGCTCTGTAACCTTTTTTCCGACTCATTGTGTCTTTCAGGAACTGGCTACGGGGAAAATGATTGGCAGTGGTAGAGCACAAAGTGGTCTGTACTTTCTTGAATCAATAATCTACAACAGCTTTCTCTTGTTCTATTCCTTCTTCTTATTCTTCTTCTTCGTCTTCTCATCTATACATTCAACATGGTATCAGAGCACTATCTTCCTCCTTGAAGATTGTTCCTTAGAGCCCCATATAGTTCCTGGTACGTCTGTCATAGCCACACAAAAAAAAAAAAAAAAAAAAAAAAAAAAATTACAGTATGCTCGAAATTTAATGGGTAATCACCCTATAATCTCATTTTGATTATTTGGTCATTATTGATTGAATTTTCTAATTTTTTTGATTTTTCGTCAAAATTGGGTGATTTTTCGAAAATCACTGTTTGACCCTCTTTTTTCTGGTTTTGTCCCTTCTTCTCCTATCCTTGGGAGCCAACTGGAACCTTAGAGGGGTTTGTTGTCCCTGATTTGATGTATTTTGGCCCTATCTTAGATTTTTATCGCTGTTCAGATGCTCTGCTTCGGTTTTCTGACTTGTAGTTGATCTGGTTGCTCTATTCTGGGCTTCTTTTGGACTGTTTTAGCCTTAGAAGGTGTTTGGTGTGCTGGTTGGGTGATTTGTGAACTTGTTTGATATCCGGCTTGTGTTTTTTGCATCCTCTTTTCTCATCTCATGGCTGACAGCTTGGGTCAGGACTCTAAGGGCAAGGAGGAGAGTGGACTGAGTCGTGGTCTGACTCTTGGTGATAGTCCTTCTCTCCAGATTAGTCCGGTCAAACTTAATGGTCTTAATTACTTGATTTGGTCCCGCTCCTGTAGTCTTGCCATTGCCGCCCGGCGTTTGACTGGCTATATTACTGGTAGTAGTACCCAGCCACCTACTGAGGATAGTATTTTATCTGCTCAATGGATTTCTGAGAATGCTTTAGTTATGACCTAGCTCATCAATTCTATGGAGCCTACCATTAGTCGGACTTTTCTCTTGATGGATACTGCTCACAAGATCTGGATAGCTGCCTCTCAAATGTATTCTCAACAAGGGAATGATGCACAGGCCTATGAATTGCGTAAGACGATTAGGGGTTTGGATCAGAAGGATCGCTCTCTGGCAGTCTACTATGCTGAGTTGAGTGGTTTGTGGCAAGAGCTAGATTTCTACCAGAGTTTCCAGCCAGTTTGCTCCAAGGATGCCACTATGTTTCAGCAGGCTGTGGAGAAGGAGCGGGTGTATGACTTTCTTGCTGGTCTGAATTTGGAGTATGATCAGATACGGGTTCAGGTGTTGGGTCGCTCTCCGTTTCCTACATTGCGTGAGGCTTATGCCCTGGTTCAGCAAGAGGAGAGTCGTCGCAGTGCTATGGTGCATGCTCCTGTTCTGGATCGGTCAGCGATGGTTGTCGGCCCCAAGTCACGTGATACTCCACCTTTTCTGCCTCCAGGTGGTGGTAAGGGTCCATTGGTTGATCGAGACCGGTTGAAGTGTGAGTATTGTGGGAAAGATAGACATGATAAAGACCACTGTTGGAAGTTGCATGGCCGCCCTACTCGAGGCCGTGGTCGTGGTGGTGGTGTTCGTCCTCAAGCACATGTTTCTGAGACTACTGCTAGTGCCTCGAATGATGCTAGTTCTATTTCCCCGGATGAGCTTCACACTCTCAGACGTTTGATGGCTCGACTTGCTTCTTCATCTGCCTTAGCTTCTTCCTCTTCTGCCTCTTCCAACTTTGCTCACACAGGTATTTCTGCTAGTGCCCTCAGTGCTTCTTCGTCGTCTCCTTGGATCATTGATTCCGGTGCTACCGATCGCATGACGGGTACTTCTAATTTTTTCCATTCTTATTCACCTAGTTTTGGGCGAGATAAGGTTAGAGTGGCTGATGGC